TATGAAGTTCAGATGGCATAAGATTGGTTTGACCGCGGACATAGAGAAGGCGTTTTTAATGGTCGCTGTAAATGAATCCGATCGAGATATGTTACGCTTCTTATGGTTGAAGGACCCTGCAGACTTGAACTCAGAGATATTACAGTTGAGATTCACGAGATTAGTATTTGGATTACGACCGTCTCCAGCAATCTTAGGATCAACTATACGCCATCATCTTGATACGCAGAAAGACGTAAATCCTGAACTGATCGAAATCCTAAAGAATTCGTTCTACGTAGATGATTTTATTTCAGGTGCCGATGACGAAAAGGAAGTGCTTGACCTGACGAACAGTGCCAAAACAGTTATGAAACGGGGCGCCTTTAACCTTCGAAAGTGGAATACGAATTCCTCCAGTGTTCAAGAAAAGTCACCGGAAACGGACATCCATACGAAGACTGCTCCAAAACATTCGAGTGTCAATGTTGTCGAAGATGATCAATCTTATTCAGAATCAGTAACGTGTAAATCTATCGGTGTTACCAATGGCAGCGTTAAGGTATTGGGTACTATTTGGAATAAATCGTCTGACGAGCTAGAGTTCAAATTTACCGACCTTGCTGAGGAAGCGAAAGCCCTACCCGCTACGAAAAGATCGTTATTGAAAGTAATTGGCAAGATATTCGACCCTCTTGGATTTCTAAGTCCGTTTATTATACGTTGGAAGGTGCTGTTCCAAATCCTTTGCATTGAAAATGTCAATTGGGATTCTGAGTTAATCGGCGAACATTTAAATTTATGGAACACTTTAATCTCCGAGCTAGAGCGTTTGAACAATGTTCATGTACCGCGATGTTACTTTCAAGATAACGGTCTATCGAAGACAATACAACTGCATTGCTTCAGTGATGCATCTAAGGCAGCGTATGCTGCTGCTGTTTATATTCGATCCAGTTACTCTGATGGTCATATCGATGTGAATTTAGTGACGGCAAAAACGAGAGTCGCTCCGTTGCAGAAGCAAAGCATCCCAAGACTCGAGTTACTCGGTGCAAACATTCTCGTACGACTCGCTGCGAATGTAAAGAACGCCTTGAACTTGTCACAAGATGTGATGATAATTTATTGGATCGATTCAATGACGGTTTTGTATTGGATAAAAAATAACAAGCCATGGAAGCAGTACGTGATGAGCCGAGTAAACGAAATTCGTGAGTTGACCAACCAAGAGTTGTGGCGACATTGTCCGGGTAAGCAAAACCCTGCTGATCTTCCATCTCGTGGACTAAATGCATCGGAACTAACAAACGAAATCCGATGGTGGAAGGGCCCTGAATTTCTTTACAAGCCCGAAGCTGATTGGCCGCAAACGGCAGAAAGCAAGGAAACAGAATTTACTAAAGACGAAGTTGTGAAGAATCCTGTTAAACAGACCCATGCACTAGCATCTTCTGCACCCCGAACAATTGAGAAAGACGATGTGTCCAACGTTAATCTCGAAGCGATTATAGACTGTAACCGTTACAGCTCTAAAACGAAACTATTACGAGTAACAGCATTAGTTCTGAAATTCGTGAAACACCTGAAACTCGAAGAGGGAGCTCGTACGACGGAGCCAGTGGAAATCAATGCAAAGGAGTTGTTAGAAGCAGAAATGTTATGGTTAAAGAGCATACAATCAGCTGCGTTTGAAACGGAGTTTAGGCTCTTGAAATCGAAGAAAGAGAAAAATCAGCTTATAAATCAACTCAACTTATTTCTTGATGAACGTGAGTTGATCAGATGCCAAGGACGACTCGATAACTCAGATTTACCTACCGAAGTCAAGACACCCATTCTGTTACCGTGTAGACATCGCTATACGGAGTTTTGTATTCAAGAGGCTCACAAAAACGTACACCATAACGGGATAAGAGAAACGCTTAATCGTGTTAGGGAGAAGTATTGGGTCCTCCGGGGAAGAGAAAGTGTAAAAAGAATTGTTAAACGATGTGTTGTATGCAAGAAGATGGAGGGAAAATCATTTTCTACACCACCAGTTCCAGCACTCCCCCAGAGTCGTGTAAGTGACGATCCACCGTTCGCGAATACCGGACTGGACTTTGCGGGTCCCTTGTTAACATCTGAAGACGGTAAAACAGAGAAAATATATATATGCTTGTTTACGTGTGCGTCAACTCGTGCGGTTCATTTGGAGTTGCTCAAGAGTATGTCTGCCGAGTTATTCCTGCAGGCATTTCGTCGTTTTACAAGTCGAAGGGGGTTGCCAAGAAAACTTTTGTCTGATAATGCAAAGACCTTCAAGGCCGCTGCTAAAGAAATACGAACCATTTCTCGTGCTACGAATGTTCAACGCTACTTAACAGACAATGGTGTCACATGGGCGTTTATAACGGAGAAGGCGCCGTGGCACGGCGGATTTTGGGAGCGATTGGTTAGGAGCGTAAAGAGATGTTTGAAAAAATCACTTGGGCGTACTTCCCTTACATTTGAGGAACTTCGAACAGTTATAGTCGAGATTGAAAGCACTCTAAACAGCAGGCCGTTGACTTATATATACGATGAGCAGGAGGGTGTTTCTTATCCCCTCACCCCTTCGTGTCTGATATATGGACGGAGAATTACAACAACGCCAAGTGACAGTCATTTCGAGATTGCATGTACGAATAAAACATTGACCAAACGCGCGAAGTATCAGAATCGCATTTTGAAGAATTTTACGGATCAATGGAAGAAAGAGTACCTAGTTAGCATTCGCGAAGCTTCACGTTCAGAAACTAACAGAAAGGAGTCTATAGAAGTCGGTGACGTTGTTATTCTCAAGGATGGAAACCAACCACGAACCTTTTGGAGGTTAGCTAAGATTGAAACATTAATTCCGAGTAAGGACAAAATAGTTCGTTCAGTGATGGTGAAGGTTTTGGGCAACGATAAGAAGAAACCAATTCTATTGCGAAGACCGATTCAACACCTCGTGCCTTTGGAAGTTCGAAGCAAGTTGGACTAAGATAAGTCTGAAGAAAAAAAAAAAAAAAAACACCATAAACACTAGTTATATCTTACTTAATGAACTTGTTTATTTTTAGTTGTTTGTTCACCGTGGGTGACCAACCCCGGGACTGTTATGAAGACTGTTAAAAACGTGCGAGAGACACCTTAAGTTAAAGGTAGAACTCAGGCTTCCCTGAGAACAAGTTGCGCAAACACATGTTTTTTTTGTGATGTAGTTTTATATTTTTTTTATACGAGTTTTATATACGAGTAAACCCTGAGATTTTCGACGATATTTTAGTTTGTTTTTGCGTAGAGTTCGATATTTATCACAGAGGTCCAAGGACTGAACATGAAGCACACCACATAAAGTCGTAGCTTTTCCCGAGATAAAGAATCTAATTTGAGTAGTTTGAACTCTATTTGTAATTTTTTTAACTCGGACGAATGGCAAAAACGCCACCTCGGTTTCCATTTGATTGAAATCTTGAAACAAAATACAATAAAAATATGAAACGGGTACCCATTAAAGGGGCAAAGCCGGTTACCGAGCCAATTACCCATTCCACATTATCTACCATTTTAAGCCAAAAATAATAACCAATAAATAGACGGTTTTGAGATTCCTTTTCTCTTTTGCTTTGCATGGAATAAAAAATATAATATTACCTTTGTCAAGTTTTCGTTGTCCATTCCTTTCAAAATCTGAATTTTTTTGCGATGTTTAAGCGACTTGTTTAATTCTACATTCAAAATATTTATGATCTCATTATTGCCACATATTAATGGTTCCTTCTCTTTTCGTATATCAACGTTATATTTCAGTAATGTTTGAACTACGGAGGTATGACCTTTCTGGCATGCTATACGTAAGGGAGATTCTAATTTCCAGTTATTTACGTCTTTAATCGCTCCATGTTGGAGAAGGTAGTTAACAATTGAAGCATTTCCACCCTCACAAGCCAGAAATAGAACTGTGGGCAGGTCAAGATTTTCTTCATTCGGTAGTTCAGCACCATGTTCAACTAAATATTTAACCATTTCCAATGAACCATTTCCAAACTTAACAGCATTATGAATTACAGGTGTATTCCGCCGGTATTTACAGTTTACATCAGCACCATGATCAATTAAATATTTGACAATTTCCAGTGAACCAGATGATACCGCGGAGTGAAGAGGACGACCAACGTTATCAATTTCACAATTTACATCACCACCATGTTCAAGTAAATATTTGACAATTTCTAGTATACCAGATGATACTCCAGAGTGAAGAGGACTACCAACGTTAGAGGATATGAAATTTACATCAGCACCATGTTCAACTAAATATTTGACAATTGTCAGTGAACCAGATGATGCTGCTGAGTGAAGAGGATTACCAACGTCAAACTTTTCGCAATTTACATCAGAACCATGTTTAACTAAATATTGGACAATTTCCAGTGAACCAGATGATACTGCTGAGTGAAGAGGACTGCCAAGTTTAGAATTTTCACAATTTATATCAGCACCATTTTCAACTAAATATTTGACAATTTCAAATGAACCAGATGATGCTGCAGAGTGAAGAGGATTACCAACGTTAAATAATCTAAAATTTACATCAGCACCATGTTCAACTAAATATTTGACAATTTCAAGTGAACCAGATGATGCTGCCGAGTGAAGAGTATTAACAACGTCACACTTTTCACAATTTACATCAGCACCATGTTCGACTAAATATTGGACAATTTCCAGTGAACCGGATGATACTGCAGAGTGAAGAGGACTACCAACGTTAAATGATCTAAAATTTACATTAGCACCATGTTCAACTAAATATTTGACAATTTCCAGTGAACCAGATGATGCTGCAGAGTGAAGAGGATTACCAACATTACACTTTTCACAATTTACATGAGCACCATGTTCGACTAAATATTTTACAATTTTGAGTGAACCAGATGATACTGCAGAGTGAAGAGGACTACCGACGTTAAATAAGCTAAAATTTACATTAGCGCCATGTTCAACTAAATATTTGACAATTTCCAGTGAATCAGATGATACTGCAGAGAGAAGGGGAGTACCAACGTTAAATGATCTAAAATTTACATTAGCACCATGTTCAACTAAATATTTAACAACTTTCAGTGAACTAGATGATGCTGCAGAGTTAAGAGGGGTACCAACCTTAAAGGATTTAAAGTTTACATTAGCACCATGTTCAACTAAATATTTGACAATTTCCAGTGAACCAGATGATGTTGCAGAGTGAAGCGAGGTTCCAACATTAAAGGAATTAAAATTTACTTCCGCACCATGTTCAACTAAATATTTGACAATTTCCAGTGAACCAGGTGATGCTGCAAAGTGGAGAGGACTAACATCGTAGTAATTTTTACCGTTTACATCAGCACCATGATCAACTAACCGTTTTACTTCATGAAAATTTCCTGTTTTTGCTGCGATCAGAAGTTTTGACATATTTATACCTATAAAAACGATAGGTATTTATGTAATGATTTATCATGATTATGAATTTTTCTATTTATTTTGACACTAAGAACATTGGTATTATAATGTATATTGGTGTTATAACAAATTGTGAATCTGAATATTTAAATTTCTGATCAGTGGCGGCGCCAAGGGGGGGGAGCTCCCCCAAATTTATTTTTT